TTTAAGAAGATGTTGGATAGCTATTTGTCTGAAATGGTATAGGGTTTCTTGCCTAGGCAGGGGACTGGACTAGAAGACCTCCAAGGTTCCTTCCAACTCTGCTATTGTATTGTACTAGAAGCCGTGCACCAATAAATGAATAGGGGCAGATGGCAAAGGCCTGCAAAACTGACTTACGTCATCTACCAGAAGGGTAGCAATGGCTCGGCCAATTTCATTGTAGGATTTTGCTTTTCCAGAAGGACCCAGGAGTATAAACAGGAATCTGGTGAAGGAAAGCAAACCATGATATGAGCATTTGCAAACCAGCTCAACACTGCTCCCAGATAACAAGCTCCTGCAAGAGAGAATGCCTGGCCCTTTAAATAGCTAAGAAAAGTATCACAGCATTGAAGAGGACAGAATATGACCTGCCCTGCTATGACCATTAGCTAAAAGCTGATTCTACTCTTTTCATTTGAATAGGCACATGTCAACATCGTGATCATTCACAAGTAGAGCAAGTCAGAGACTTGTGCCATGTTACACCACAAGGAATACCTGAGATTTCTCTCCTCATGCCTGAAATGTAATTTTAAATCAAATAAAAAGACTAGAAACCTGTGATTCTGGGAAGGAAGGAGAAGAATTCTGAACAGAATAGAGACTATTAGCAGAGTCGTCTGTTAAATTAGTGGATGAAATTTTAATAATGGTTTGGAAGTTTTGAGAGGGAGAACACTCATACTGTATTCTCCACAAAATGAGCGAATTTAGAAGACTGTTAAAGCAAGTATTAATCCAGTATTTATGGGTTGTTTTGCATACAATGAAAAAAGATCTAACAAATGAATCGTCCCTTCAGGCATCATTTTCAGTAACTCCGAGTGGACTTGGGTAGAAATATAGGAACAGAAATGAAAGGGTAAAGATGGGAAATGCCCTCGAGTCAAAGCCCTGTTCCTGTCTTTTACCCTGGAGGAAGGTGCAGAGGGTTTCTGACGATTGACCTACCTGGTCGGAATAGGCACTTCTGTCATCCCACCCAATATGGTAGACTGTATAAGCCGGACAAAGGCTACAAAAGGCTTGTCCAGGAAATCCACTTCTCCTACCAGGACATTTGAGGCTTCGGCATTTTTGGGGATCTTCTTCATGAATTTGTTTCTAAGCTGGAGAGAAAAAAAATATTTCTCTTCTGATTTGTCTCGACATGCCTCTAACCAGCACAGTCCGGGGGAAAGAGGCATTTCAATTGACACCTTTTCTCCTGAAATTTAGAATAGAGGATTAGAATATTAGTGGGAACTGTTTGGGAAACACTCAGTTATGGCATGCAAAGCTAGTTTCTTCCATATTCTGAGTTGTGTATGAGAGGTGTCCAATTTTAGAGTAAAACATAGAGGCCTATCCAAATTTCTAATTGAAGGTACCTTGGCTATTTATGGCAATGTCTTTTTAAATGCTGATTGCTTTCCTTCTGCATCCACCCCGATATTGCCACTTCAGGTAATTGGAACAAAGATGAAAGGGTGCATTGGTGGACCCTGGGGGGACAAGCAGCCCAACAGAAAAGTAGCCCAATAAAAGAAAAATAATAATTAGAAAACACATGCTGCTGGCTTTTAAACTAAGGATTATTTGCCATGTAGACATTATGCAAGTACAGGTAGTTCTTGACTTATGACCAAAATGGAGCCCAAAATTTTAATGGCTAAGCAAGACAGTTAAGTAAGTTTTACCCTATTTTATGACCTTTCTTGCCATAGTTGTTAAGATAATGACTGCATGCATTAAGTGAATCCGGCTTCAATTCATTGACTTTGCTTGTTAGGAGGTTGCAAAAGGTGATCACGTGACCACAGATCATAGATAAATGCCAGTTGCCAAGAATCTGAACTTGATGATGTGACCATGGGGATGCTGCAATGGACATATATGTGATTGAAAGTCATTCTTTTCAGTGCCATTGCAACGGTCACTAAATGAATAATTGTAAGTTGAGGACTACCTGTAAGGAAGACCCTGCATTAAGCTTCTGCTTGAAGGCCATGCCGTGTGGGTGTCTGTCTTACTTCACTGTTGGTGAAACAGCCTGTCGAAGAGTCGAGGGCGGAAGGATAAAGGGCCGCAGCCCTCGGCTCTTCCCTCTTGGCATGGGAAGACACCAGCGTGAAAGTATAGCAGGAAAACGCATCAGGAGAGAAATAGGCTGTGGTCTGTTTCAAACGGCTTACTGAAGTCCAAGTAAAGGAGATCCACAGCATTTCCCTGATCCAGTCATTTATTCATGTTGTCAGTGAAGTCAATAAGGCTCATATGGTAATTTCTGGTAATCTTTTCATTTCTAGATGCTCACAAAGCTGCTGCTTTTCTTTTCCAGGATTTTGGAAAAAAAGATGATTGGCTCAACCCATGGTCACCTTGAGGCCCTTGTGCTCTTGTACCCTCCCAAATCCTCCGTAAGCTTCTTCCTGGAGGAGGCCCGTTGTTCCCCTTGGTCTCTGGAGGGGCCCTGGCTTCGGCTTTCAGGCCATTGCCATCTTCTGGGCTCTGTATTGGGTAAACTTCAGCATTCCCGGCCTGGCTTCCAACTGGCTATCAGCTCTGTCAGGTCTTTTGCCACCATCTGCCCTTTGGAGCGTGTCTCTGGCTCTGGCCTTGTCCTCCTCTCACTGGCCTCTCATGACCACAGCAGCTGCACAGCTGTGCAACAACAGCCAGTAGCAGCGAATCAGCCACAACTTCCCTACATTTCATTTCCTTGTGAGTCAGGGGTCCTGGATTTTGGATGCATTTTGAACGTTTGCCCATTTGAGGTACTTTGGTTGAAAAACCATTGACCTATTTTGCCCAGGAAAAGGTCACAACAAGAGTTTTAGTGGTATATAGATTTGTGGAGAGGCATGCCGTAGCAAACGTCATTACAGGTTCCTACAAGTTACAGCAAGCTAGCAAACAAAGCTGTTTGTCCCTGATATCACCTGAACAGAAAGTTAGCCTTTTACTATCATAATAACACCAGCCTTGATTTACTTTCATAGTATCTCCTCCAAGGACATACACTTTTTGGTTGGAACTCAAAGGAATATTCTTTAAGGAGATCTGACTTCTTGGGAATCTACCCATCATGCTTCCAATTGTTGGGCTCATGCTGGACAATGACTGTGTGGTTGCCATAACTGAATACAAAGCTACTGAATGGCATGGATGAGATGGGAACATGGGAAAGGAACGAGAACGACACAGGGAGCTGATCAAACCGCATGTTTATTGCTATTTGCCTATTGACAGGAATCTCACCAGACTCCTGTGCTTCCCACAGAAACTGCTAGATGAGCCATGGGAGGTTTAGAGAGGATCTGCGCTCCACTCAGGGATTCAAGGCTAATCAGTCTTTTTTCTTTCTTTCCGGTAAATGTGTTTTTATTTTCCATTTTCATTTCGTACAGTCACATATATACTGTGCATAACCGGGGCC